ACATGCAAGTAGCGACATCTAGTAGTAGTTAGGGGAACATATCAATAAGTACATTTTTGAACAGCATTATATTGAACCATCAGTTCTTTTGAACTACATTATAGTGCGTGTTAAGCTCTTACCGGTTAAGTAAATGTCGCAGGAGTGAATGTCCTACCCTGAGCATGCGCTAAAGATAGATCGTCTATTTTGGCGGTAAAACCACCATTCAGGGCGGGGCGTCGTAAACATTTTCCGTGTTGTTAAATCTATTTCTATCAACGACTGATGTCATGTTTTACGTTACTAACTCCTGGTTATACACGTGACGCAGTTTTATATCCTGTAACCAGACAATATTTTTTTTAAACATTTATGTACCTACGTAATACTTATCATCATCCTATTTAAGAGCCAGGTTCTTGTCGGTGTAGCCTCCTCCTATCCTCACGGTTCATAGCCAGCTCCTGGACTTCTTTAGAGCTGCTCACTTTGATGTTCTTCTTTATTTGTTTAATGTAGGTACTTTATTCTTGATCTTCATCTCTTTCTTTTTCCTTATATTTTCCCCTCAATTATAATTCTCACAAATTCGTCATTACGTAACAAATGTCCAAACGTTGTCCTCCTTCTGTAGTTGTCGTATCCTTAATAATAAACTGTCTTTTTCCTAAAAAAAGAAATTTTCAGGAAAATGATAAAAACAGATTTAAAATAATAGCGACTTAGGCGACTGTCGACATAATTTGTATTATAATTACTTTTACAAAAATGACACTGGCGAAATCTTAAAAAAAAAGAAAATTGTATTTGACATGAGAAACGGTACATTAGTTTTTAACGTACACTTCTTAATTATTTTTTTAATATAGCCATTTTAATATTGTAGGTGCACTTACCATTTTTCTGCACATTGAAAACAACTAACCATGCCCATCTCATTTTCCCTGAAGTTTCACGCAACGCACATACAACTGTGGACCCCACCCCCCACTCCGTCCCTCACCCTTTGTAGGGAATCCCTTTGCCTGATATATTTGTACACGTGACACATCAAAACACATGGTGCTGGGCCTTCCATTCTGGGAACACCATATGGTCTAACATTGTATATATTACAATGAGATCATACAAAAACCTTTTTTAAATCATGCAATACAGTTCAGAGGAATTGCCTATTAAAATATGTAAGTATATTTTGCATAGTGAAAAGTTCCCAGGAATTTTTGATGAGACTGGTTACATCCGCGTGGTATGTATACGATGCTGTTGAAATCTTTCATTTAAAAATTATCGAAGGTCTCTTGTAACACTAAGCGATATTTATATTGTTCGTTATATATTCTGAACGAGGGCCTAAGACGACGTGACGCGCGAGACACGGAAGTTGCCCCATAACTTGGACACTATGTACGGACACTGTCGCAGGTCACTGCGACTGACATCTCCGGTACAAGCCCGGAAAGCTAGTACAGGATGAGCTAGACATTCTCCGGTCCCTCCAGTAGCGTAGGTTTCTGGGAACTGGAGAGATCAAAGAGGAGATTTAATAATGGATAGAGTCAACGGCTTAGCGGTGGCAACCGTTAGTTGTGCAATACGCAATGGAAAGTGAGCATGCCTACAGCTCCGGTATCTATCTGGAAAATACGAAGGGTACTTACTATACGTGCACTAGGGGAGGGCTCACCCAACGCACAAGCCTCTTGAGAATCGAATGAAGTCAGTGACAATGGTCAGTGACAACTTTGTACACTGGCTGATCTGGGGTCAGATCCTGAACTTAGAAGGTTACTGTGCACGCACGGGTTATAGTGCTTTCTCGTGTACCCTAAGCGTCAGTTGGTAGGGTCACTGTAATCAAAAGTTATATAGAAACGTAGATTGGTAACTTAAACTTTAACTAATATATAAAGAGTGGTCAATACCTCCCACTGAAATATCGGAAAGATTAACAGTAAAAGGCAAAGTTTTACTCTGCTTTAGCACAATTAGTATTCTAGTGAAACAAAAAAATATGATTATAACTTTTTTATGAAAAAACTGACGTCATAAAGTCGGGACGTCTTCTCAACGATAACTGAAATGCATATGAATGAAAAGGTTATAAACCACTATAGCCTGGACCAGGATCACGGCAATGAAATACGATACTTCGGTCCACAAAAATTTGTTTGATAGTTTGAAAGAAAAGAAAGGTAAGGCTGTAACAAGAAAAGGTAGGGTAAAACCGGGGTAGATGGCCATAGTTTTTTCTAAACGCTGTCAAAATAAAATTATAGATGTTACATTGCAAATCTTTATTTCTTATTAAACTTTGAACAATTGACTATTAATTATTCAACAGAAAAAAGGACAAATTGTCTTGAGACCATCCTTAAAATTAGTTTAAAAAAAATTACGATTGGCCGTCTCTTTCGAGGTGTCCGGGTGTGATGACCATAGGACTATGGGTAAGATGGTCAGTAATTATTTCTAAACTTAGATAGGTTTTTTACTAGGTGTTTTGTGTTTTTAAGTGCACTTTTTTCTTCATGTCGTTAAATTCTCAGTTTTCTTGAACCCAAAAGTGGCACACGACGCGACGCATTGGAGCCAGTCTCCGATGAGGCGGGTCTCATAGCAGCAGCAGTTTTAATAGCTATGAGTTCTTAGGTTTTCGCGATTGTTACACTTATGAAAAGAAACTATTTTTCCGGATTTAAATCGCGTATATTTGTTTTTCAAACAAACCAAGCTTTCGGGCCGTTTACAAGTATTGGGACATTTTCTAAGCATTAATAGCTGCTTTTAATGATTCTTTTGGAATTTGGGATGCATCTAAAACTAGTTCGAAAATAAATAAATTATTTTATTAATATTTTAGACCTTTCATCCTTTTATCCTATCGGTATAAGTAGTTACATGGCCATCTTACACCGATTTTGATTGGCCATCTGTCCTAATAATATTCAGGGAAAGGTGGCCACACATAAAATTTAAACAATAAAAAACATGTGTCGTAAAATTTTGAGCTTATAACAAAGAATTGGATGTGGACTAAGCTATAAATACAAAAATAATCCATATTTAGAAAAAATATCTTCATTGTAGTGTAAAACATATACCCTCTAAAAAATTTTAACATTAGTCAAAACAATTGACAAGGCTTTTACTTACTTTTTCTTTTTTTTGCTCAGCATATTCGCCGTACACTTGCACTTAGGGTCGTATTCCAGAACTCTACTCAATACACAAGTCAGGACTTGAGTATTGCAGTGAGCACTGAAAATCATACTCAAGTCCTTGCCATTAGGGTCGTATTTCCAGTGCTTGAAATCATACTCAAGTCTGCTCAAATCCAGACTTGAGCATCTAGAATACGACCCTAAGACACGATACGATGCGAATACTGAAACTGACCAATAACTATCGCTTCTCGTTAGCGGATCATTGAAATATTGCGATTGGCCATCTGCCCCCTATGGACATTTAACCCGGTTTTACCCTATATAAAAACACAGATACAATACTATACACTCCCTAACTTAATTACATACCGAAAAGGGCCGAGTTATATAGAACTACAGATTGGTATTAACATTAAAATTGGCACATGATAAGAATAAGAATAAGAATAAGAATAGTTTATTGCGTAAGCACCGAGACACACATGATCTTAAAATTAATACATTATTATTAACTTTAAACTAAAATACAGTACCTACAACAAAAGTTAAAACATAATTAAAAAATTATAATGATTAAAACAAAATAAAAATAAAAATAATAAGAAAAATAATTGAAAACGTAATAATAAATGCGTGTCGCGGCGCACGCAAACGGGATTTGCTCAGCTATTAGCTACAGGCTGATAGATTTCAGCCTGGAGCGCTGGTTTTCAGCAAACATGATTAGGTTGCGAACTGGTAGAAAGATCAAAATTACAGCTAATAAAAAAAATACAGCTGAACTGCTCGCTGCCGCGATTGAGTAGGTAGGCGATGGAACGAAACAAAAAGAAAATGGCGAGGCAAAGGAATTAAAGAACGATTCAAAATTTGAAACTAGTGGCCAGGAATCAGAGTAAAGGTGATAAAAAGATAGGATGACAATGTAGGGAGCCCACATTGGCACATGGAAGTCCTCAAAACGAATAATATAAGCCCAAATACAAGGTACCTGCTGTACTGTACACCGTTGAATAGTCATATCAGCTCTAGGTAACCATGACATTTTGTTTATGTTGAAATTACTCCTATGTGCCAAGTGTTATTGAAATTGGATACCTAGGAGTGGGTGAAATTCAATAAGCCGGCTTTATCCCTTAATTTGACATCCTTAGAGATGAAATATTTTCTTCAAATTTCTATGAGACTACTACTTAAGTATCCCCTTTCCAACAAATAAAAATCATCGAAATCGGTTTACAAATGTCGGAGATATCGCGTAACATACAAACAAAAAAAATGCAATCAAATTGAAAATCTTCCTCTTTTTTTGAAGTCGTTTAAAAATAGTTGTGTTTTTACATACAATTACAAAAAAAATTACATCCGTTACGGGATAACAGAGAGAGGCATTATTCATTCTATGTGTATTACTTATTAGTAAATCATCTGGAAATTTTATTCTGGTTCTGAGCTCATGATGAACATTGCGAATGCATTCACGAATCAAACGACGCTCTAAGAACGTCGGTTTCTGGATTATGTTTAGAACGTGTAGGTGGTTCCTTGTTGTCACTCTTGATTGACATTGATGACGAACATGCTAAACTCATTATCAACAACTCAACAGATGATGGTACGTCTAGATGCAATGTACCGTCTAACGTCACAATGTTCATTGTGTTGTTATCCTCGCGAATATGTGAACAGAAATATATTTACTCTAAAGGTTGCCAGATACCCATGAGCACCGGGCTCTCCGATCTCTGATTCGCGTATGTTTTTCTTTCATATGCTTTCACTTGTACAACCTGTTACGACTCCATTTTCCCCAACAGATTGAATATACTGTGACGGTTCTGAATTTCTCAGAGATGCATCCCGGGGTTCGAGAACGCAGCATTCATGGTGCAGATGGAGGCAACCAACACGTGTGGCGACCACGGCACAACGTCGTACTGCAAGCAGACCTCGGCCGGCACGTCTACCAGGTAAATAATACACAGTCAAAAACAACTGCACAGAGATTTCATTTCTATTTGATTGAGCTGTGTTGATGACTCCGGCTTCTTTCGATAGAAAAAGAGAAACACAAATGTAAAGAGTGTTAGCGACACATAGGTGACAGTCAATATTCAGCCCTGAGCATTTTCTGTTTTAGAATTATTATGATGAGACACAAGACAATGACCAAATATGATTCCTTAATATAGTTAAACAATTGTTCTTCTCCAGATCGTGTGACATCTGCCAACCCGAAGAAGTTTCCAGTTATTTCTTGACCGATCTTCATCACGAGCAGGATCAGACTTGGTGGCAGTCGGAGACCATGAAAGAGGGCATCCAGTATCCAAACCAGGTCAACTTGACCTTGCACTTAGGTCAGTTCTGCGTTGTTTTACCTCATGTCTGTTTCTAGGCAAAAAGTTAAAGTTATATCCCGAAATAAGGCGCTGTCGATATTTTAAACATATTTTGAGATGTAGTGAAACGTTTTGCCTACCGTATATTAGTGCCAAGGCATAAATATGTTGATCCTTATGTCATAACATAACGCTTGACTCGATAACGCTTCTAAATACTTGTGCCCTCGTTCGCCAGGCAAGGCATATGACATCACGTACGTCCGGATCGTGTTCTACTCACCGAGGCCTCAGAGTTTTGCTATTTACAAAAAGACTGCCGAAGACCGGCCTTGGGAACCTTTCCAGTATTTCAGGTTGGTCTTTACTAAAATGTAGAGTGATTTATAACTTTGCTTAACATGGTCCAGGATTTATGACCATCTTCTTTGTATTTTTATATAATTATAGTATACAATTGGTGTTATAAATCTATACCTGAAATTTCTCGTTATATTGATAGCGCGTCGTGCCGAGATACATACGGTGTGACGGAGCAGAAAGCGGCGGAGCTGGGAGCGGAAACGCGTGCGTTGTGCACCAGCGAGTATTCCGATATATCGCCCTTATCAGGAGGCAACGTTCTTTTCTCCACGCTTGAGGGAAGACCGTCCGCTTACACCTTCGACAGCAGTCCCGAGCTACAGGTATGTCGGGTTGTAAACGCATAACACCAGAACCGATTCCGATTATAATAAATTATGATAATTTCTAGGACTCTACCAGAGTCGCATGAAATTGTCGCCTATCACAATATTTTTTTTATATAAAAACTGTGACGGGACGTACAAGTCGTGCGCCTGATGGTAAGTGATATAGGCGTATCACATCAGTGATATATCCATAACAGTTGCAGTACCACTCACAGATTTATATCACAAAGATCTGAGGGGCACTGCCACTGCACCCGACTCCCTGAGACATAAGTTGACAAGTCGCATGTGCCTGTAATTTCACAAGCTCCCTTACAATTTGAAAAAGAATCTTTTCAAACTAAATAAGTCCCATTTTTGTTTGTTGTAAATAATAGACATTACATTGCATATGCTTATCACTGTATATATGTATCAAATGAATTATTTAAGTATTTTATAAATATAAGAGAACACACCATACTACATTAAAGAAATATATACGTAATTTATTTTAGTTTAAACGCGACACACACGTCCGGTACTCACTCGGTTTTAGGGTCCACTGAGAATCAGCGTCACAGCCTTGTCCCGGCGGTGAAATTAGCCGCCGCACACATGACATCTATTTAGTACAACAATAATGTTGACCAGCTTTGTGGTCGCATAATTATTTATTGCTAAGATTTTATTTTTAATTAATTTTATTTAGTTTTCTTTTATTGTTATTCATTTCTGTTTGTTTTAGTTTTAATTTAGTTATTTTTATTTTATTTACTTTTTATTTTTTACTGTTTATTATTGTGTTGTGGTGTTATGTAATAAATGTATTATATTCTAAATAGATAAGGTGCCAGTATTTACCTGGACGACCTGAACTTAATAATAATAATCAGTGGAAACCTACGGCGAATGATGCTATCATTGCCAAGATTTATAGCTTCATTACAGTCATCGGTGGCCATAGATGAAGCTTGAGCGAATTGATCTCCTTATTTTGGCCGTTTATTGGTGGTCACAGTGGCATGTCATGCTGATATGACTAATAAGAATTGTTTGTATTGGTGGTAATATTTACTTAAATAATAAAGCACAATCTTGCTCAAAATAGGTTATATGGATGAGGGCAAGCAAAAACGTGTTAACAAACATGACCATAGTTTTGCGAAAATATCACCTAATAGTTTTTTCATTTATTTTTGATAGTTCGTTCTAAGATTTAATTGCAAACTGATAACTTTTAATGTTGTCACATTGTTGGGATTTATTACTATGATTCCCCAAAAACAGCAAGCACAACAGCAAAAGTTTTCATTTAACAAATAACTTTTAGAACAAACTATCAAAAACGACGAAAATATCATTAGGCTCCATTTTGACATTATGATCTTGTTTGTTAACAGGTTTTGCTTATCAGCATCCATACGTTTATCCGACGCTAATCACCTTTATCTTTTTGCGTAATTGGCTTAGCACAAATGTGATTTTTTTCTTTTTTTAAATTATTTATTATACAGAAAAAACAAAAACATATTTAGTAACAAGGAAAACACAAATAAAAGGTACTGCTTATATCTAAAAAAAATTGTTCCTGCAGACCAAAATACAGGAGACAATAATTACAGTAACGGGTTTACGAGCACAGCAAAACAAAAATTATGAAAAAAAAAATATCAAAAACATTAAACTATTAAAACTATATAAATACAAACTATATAAATTAGATAAATACTTCGTACTATAATAAAATGGAAGGAATATTCGGTAAATAGTGCTTAATAACTCTCATTTTAAAAATTGCTAAAGAGTGACTTTGATTATCATGAACAGTAATGGGAAGTGCATTCCAAAATCTGACCGCATAAACAGTGAAGGAGTGAGAATTTTCTTTTATCATGTTGCTGCTTACAAAGAAAGTTGTCTTCGAAGTAAGCCAGATACGGTTATTCAATACACACTCTACAATCTTACCATAGCGGATGCAACGATAGATCACAGTTTGCGGGGTTCTTAAAGTGCAATTGCTTCATTTAGTTTCGATTGATTCAAAATTTCCTGCCAACCACAGCAATTGACATGGCGCAGTTTTGTAGCAGTAGAGCTCCTTGTGCCAGAATTCGTCCAGGGAATTACTGCCACCTTACATGTTTCTGCCGCCTAGAAGTAATATGTGCATTACTGCGTTCCGGTTGTGAAGGGTAATGGTGCTGGTGAAATTATAAGCACATGAGACTTATCAACTTATGTCTCTGGGTGATGGGCGCAGTGGCAGTGTCCGTCGGATCTTTATGTTTTAAAACTCTACGTGGCATTGCAACTGTTATGGCCAGGCGTGTCGCTTACCATCAGGCGCACGACTTGTTCGTCCCGGCACTTGGTATCGTAAAAGTCTCAAACTAGGAAATTCCCTGTACTATGATTACCAGAGCACCGGAATTCACTCTAGGGCTCTTCCCAGAGCTCAGAGAACTCGGAGCAGCACTTATTTAGAAAAGTTAATTTCCCAAATCGGTCTTACCGGTAATCGAAACCGCGACCACCTCATCCAGTGCAAACCGAGGTTGTCAAATCAAATTTCTTGGATAAGTCAGGGCCCCTTCGATATTGAGCTATGTTTGTTTTCGACACAGGAATGGGTGACAGCAACTGATCTGCGTATTTCGCTCGACCGACTGAATACGTTCGGAGACGAGATCTTCGGCGACGTGCAGGTGCTGCAGTCATATTGGTACGCGATCGCTGACGTGGCGGTGGGCGCCCGATGCAAGTGCAACGGACACGCTTCTATTTGCAACACGCTCGACATGCCGGACGGCTCTAAATCAAGGAGTTGCAAGTGAGTCTTCCGTTATTACTACATCACCATGTTAGAATGTATCTACCGAAAATATACAATATGTTACTTTACCGTGAAACGGCTAATGGTAAACGATCATTTGTTTCAATGGCAAAGAAATAGGTTTAACTAGTTAAAAACGGCAACCAATCACAAACTCGAATTTTTTTTTCCGAAATAACGGTTGTTCAAATTTTCATTGCACCGAAAACCGAATTATAACGAAACCGTTGTTCTTTCAGGATATGTTGGATGTTTATCGCAAAGACACGATTAGGTACGGTTAGGTTAGATTAAGTTAGGTTTAAAAAAATATTTTCCTCTCAAAATTACTTTTGAGTTTATGAAGATTCGAGCAAAAGTTATTTCTGGAAAATGTCATTTCGAACTACTAGGTAACCGTTAAAAACATTTTTATAAATATCAAGTCACGGGACAAACAAGTCGTGCGCCCGAAGGTAAGCTACACGCCTGTCCATAACAGTTCTTTAAATGGGAAAGATCTGAGGGGCACTGCCACTGCGCCCATCACCCTGAAACATAAGTTGACAAGTCCCATGTGCCTGTAATTTCACCAGCACCCTTACCCTTCAAAACCGGAACACAATAATGCTTGGCGGCAGAAATAGATAAGGTGGCAGTACTTCCCTGGACGAACTCTTTCACAAGGAGCTCTACTGCTACTGAACATAGTTCGTATAGGATTTATAAGAAGCTATAAAATTATTGTGAAATGTTTTAGATGCGAGCACAACACCGCTGGTCGCGACTGCGAACGCTGTCTGGATTTCTACAACGACGCTCCGTGGGGCCGCGCCTCTGCTACCAACGCACACGAGTGCAAAGGTTAGAGGGATACGATTATTGCAGTCTGTGGACTTTTTCGTACTAGCTCTTTCAAAGCAGCTTATCGCAAAGCGATAAAGTAAACGTATTACCGGTTTCAAGCGGAGTTGCGGAACGCTGCATTGAAATTGCGGGTGTAATTCAGACTAACGTATTTGCTAAGTGAAATTTGCTATGCGCGATAATTATTTGTTCTGCACTTTATGTAACATCTCCTAGCTCTTTTCTTGCCTACATTTGAAATTGTATAGCTGTGCGAATTCAAAATACCGGCAAAAGCAAAAGTAAAACCGGTCCTCTGAAAATCAGCGACACAAGCTAATCTAAGAGTGGTTTCACACCGCGACGTTTAGCAGCGATTCAAACGTGCGATAGCAACGCTACACTTGCGAGTTAAAGGGGATTGCATCTATGTAAACGCGCGATTGAATCCATACAAACGTGTACTGCATCACTCGCACAGTCGCTTATGTTGAATCATTATGCACATTGTTTTGTTTTGTTAATTGTCAACCTAAAAGTGAAATAAATAAATTACTTAATTAATTTGAAACGTGAATAGCGTTTGTATCGCGTTTCGCATCGCTGCTTAAGTCGCACGTGTGCGTTTCAAACTACGAGATGCAAAACAATTTTGCTGCCGAGCGAAACACACAAAGGTAGACGATTAGCTACGGCATCGCAGCTAAGAGTCGTGTGTAAGCTCTAAGCTGTGCAATCATTGACTTATAATTTTATAGACCGTAGATCTATGAATCTGTTGTATTAGCTGAATGGATCATTTCAGACGCACATGTGTCATTATTGTTCTTTACATTTTAAAAATGTCTCTTTAGACGTTTTTTTACACTTGTTTTTATATATTCTTTTTTTGCGTATGTGTTGTGGCGTCCCAGTAAATGCTTTCTATTCTAATACAAGTACATTTTTGTGAATCGTTTCTGCTCAGGGTAGAACTACCTACCTTGGCACCTACACTGCTGGACACATAATTCGAGCTACCCCACATTTTTTATTCTTTAAGGGCTATAATAATAGTCGTTTGTTATGCAAGGCTGCAAATTTGTTGTTTGACACGAGTACTTGTATAGAAACCTGATCAAATGAAGGAGTCTAAGACTGAATTCAATAATCTTAGTACAGAGTACTAAAAAAACCGACCTCAAAAGTACGTGGAATTACGTCTATTTGCTAAGTTTCATTGCAATATCCCCTAGTTCGCCACTATACAGGACTTGATACTGGAGATAATGAAAATAGGTTCTCACTACGACACTACTCAAAGTATATCGAGAGAAAAACGCCTTGAATTGGAGAAATAGCAAAATCAACTAAATAATTGCTAAAAGTAATTGCTCCTAAATTAAAGTTAGGGGTTATTTATAAAAATGAATCTTCATGCGTGAACAGCCACCCTTCGAGGTGGATGATTTTCTTCAAAATGAAATGGGACCACTATGGAATACTATGGAATATTACTATGGAAGTACTCCCTTTCTAACAAAAAAGAATCATGAAAATCGGTTCACAAATACCGGAGTTACCACGTAACATACATGCAAAAAAAAAGAACATACAGTCGAATTGAGCTCCTCCTCCTTTTTTGAATTCGGTTAAAAATAGAATCCTGAGCGTGGCGAGGGCAAGCAACTAGACACTTAATAAGGCGAGGAAAATGATAGACGAAATAAAAAAGGTAGAACTGTAACAAATCAGCTTCATTGATTCATACAGCAAGACGGGTACATTAAAATAATTTAATAAACAAAATTAGTTATCGTTGTCAATTTAATGTCAACAATAATAAGAATAAAATATACCAACAGATTTATATTACATAAATAATGTACGACAAATCACGTAGTTGAACGTCTCATTGTCTTTTTTTTCATCGAAAGAAAAAGTTAGGTGCACCACAGTCTATCGTCAAGATCGAATTAAAAAATGTAGATTTCTAATGAGAAAGAAATCCTTGCCGAGCTAGTGAGGTGAAATCATTGACTTACAAATAAATGGACGACGGGTCTAATACAAAAACCACGAAAAAAATGTCCCAAGTCAACCTATTCGAAATTTAAATTGTAATGTCATCGCAGTATCGCGCTGTCAGTCGAACCAATGAAGACTAAAGCGGAGTTTGGCGCTCTGTATACGATTTTAGCGCCTTACAAGTGCGGACACTTTTTAGCGCGGACCCGACGTCCATATAATTGTAAGTCAATGGGTGAAACAGTATTTTATACAATCATTGCAAAACGAAGGTTCTTACCGTACCGTGTTACTCGGCAAATCCTCGTGGCCTAAGTAATAGATACGAGGTTTTAAGACTTAAATCAAATCAAATCAAATCAAATCATTTTATTCGTCATCATGGGTAGGTACATTTGATAACATTTATTTTATGGTCGCCATGACGTACCATCAAGGCATACGAATTATACTATTATTATTAATTATACTTGTCCAATACTTCCAAATAATAATAATAATAAAATAACACTAATAATTATCATTAAATAGTGACAAACCACTGATTATAGGCTTCCTCACCTTCGCAGGACCAAGTCTTAAAATGTACAACAGTTAGGACATCAAAACAAAAGTAATTTAATTAAGATAATAATCAATATAAATAAATCATTGTCATACAGTCACGTTCGTCTCAATAATAAATAATAAATTAATTAATGTGACATTAGTTAGCAAAATGTATAAAATGATTTTTCAATTAAATACTCAAATAATGTGCGTTTAAATTCCGCGAAATTTTCATTCTGCCTTAACTGTAATGGCAATTTATTATAGATTTTTGGTGCCATTGCAATTATACTCTTCTCAAATAGTGACGTTTTACAATTATGTAATGATTGCATACAACAGTTTTTCCACGAGTAAATTAAAATAATGAAACACAATCAATATTTAATGTATATTTTGTTAACAATCCACGACAACAAGCTCAAATGAAAGTCAAACAAACGCCAAAAACAAAAAACCAAAGAAATAAGAAGTGCCGTGATTGGCCAAGTACCGCTTAAATTTTTACTAATCAAGACGCAGTAGGGCGTTTGAGTAGCGTCATAGTTAAAGGGTTCTCTTTTGCCAAATGGTTGCGCTTTTGCATGTACCTGTTATGTAACAAGTTGAGATATTATTTTTTTTATAACATTAAGTGACGTTACGAACAAGTCGTGCGCCTGATGGTAAGTTACACGCCTGTCCATAACAGTTACGGTGCCACTAAGAGCTTTCAATTGCAAAGATCTGAATTGCACTACCACTGCGCCCGTCACCCTGAGACATAAGTTGACAAGTCCCATGTGCCTGTAATTTCACCAGCACCTAAAGATTAATTAATTAATTAATTAATTCAAAACCGCAACACAGTAATGCTAACATTGCTGCTTAGTCGCTGGTATTTAGTCCAGTCGGATCGCAGGAATAACAACACACTAGTATAGGGTAATTGTCAACAAGCTTACAGAATCCGTTCAGTGAATAATAAACTTAAAACAATGATAAATAAATTTTAGAATCAAAAGTCATGAACAGTAAAGTACAGTATCAAAAGATTAAAAGATGTTTTGTAAAAAAATATTTAGTTTTTCAATAACTACGAATAATTTTTTTAAATCACTAAATGCGTTTCGGTAGTCTGTTAAAATACATGAACATCATGGTAGCAATGATACAATGAATCATGATATTCAATAAAATATATTATACTCCGTATATCCAACTTTTATAATACGATGTCACCCTAATAACGCATGCAGTAGTAATTACGCAATTCCAGGCAATATCTCTAAGTTGATATGGCGTAAGGGTCTGTTATCGCCTGGCCATGAGGGCCAGCTATAAACAAACCGCTTAGATAAACAGGTGCACCTATAACCCTTAGATAAGAGAACAATGCTTCCACGTCTATTCTAATTATCTATTTCTAAACAGTTTGTAATAAACACATTCCATTATACTCTGGAGAATATTTTTTTAAACGACTTGAAAAAAGGAGAAGGTCAATTCGGTTATTAGTAGTCCGAAATGATATTTTCTAGAAATAACGCTTGCTCGAATTTTCATAACATCGAAAATAATTTTGAAAGGAAAATGTTTTTTCTTTTAAACCTAACTTAACCTAATCTAACCGAACCTAATCGTATCTTTGTGATAAACGTTCAATATATCGTCGCTGGAAAGCAATAATGCTGTAACCCGCAATACCTGCAAAAATACTTTATTTACATAATCCTGTTTTTTCTGCTTCGATTGGTCCGGGTCTCATGTCTCTAAAATGAGAAATAAACTCTGGACAACATAATTTTTTAACACTTTTTCTGATTAAGGAATTTTAAAACGATTTAACCCACATAAAATCCAGTGTTTTTTGCGAAATGTGCGTCATATCAAGAACACGTAATTAAATTTTTCTGTGTTTTGTGTGTTGTGTTTGTTTTCCCTAATATTAAAATTGTACCACTTACAGCATTTCCTTGGGTGTTGTTAAGTACGAACAATGTGATTTACAGCGTTTTAAAGGTGCGTGTTTTAACAGTGCAATGGGGGTTACGATATTTAAAAACAAATACAAATAAGTACAGAACTTCTCCTTACGTCATTTTATCATTTCCTCTCTTAATGACATCGCGACTTACAGCAATATTTAGAGACTGCGCATGCAGCAGTGAGGGTACTTGTGTGTATTGTCCGAGGTTCTATAGCAAAATATAGCAAAGTATTTTTTCAATTATTATTAAAAATATTATTTATTTTCATTATTTTCTTTTATTATTTATTATATTTAAGCTCATTTATTTATTCAGACCATAAGAATCAGAAATAAACTACGTAGGACTCGTAAATACTATGCGTTTAAATTATAGCGAAATTTACTCAAAACAGCATGATCACAGTGATTTTATGCGACTGAGAAATTCTACAAAGTTAAAAGTTATTGTGACATGTAGGTATATTAATATGTTTAGGTGATTATTATTCAATCCGTCACTAAAACGGATTTATATACAATATTGCAAACAAGCCTTTTCTGGTTATATACATATATCTCTCGCCGTTCTCCCATCGGGGCAGGCAGATAAATGTTTATACCTGTAGTGCGATTTCGTCTTTTCATGGAGTTTTTTCTCACTTCACATTACAGTAACCATCATCATTTATTCAGTAAACTCTTGTATCACAAAATCTTATTTCTAGATAGCATGAACCCTGGCACAACCAGTAACACAGATTATGTCATAATAGTTACTATCAACAGTCTAAATGACTGTAGGTATGTTAAGTCATGCGTACCACAAAGTTTAATTATTAATAAAATAGATACGCGTATAAAATATATTCTACACATGCTAACAAATATAAAACACAAATAATGTCACAAAAAAGAAGAAAATGCCTAGGTGAGCTGAAAGAAAACAAAGAAACAATTTTCTGTCGACTCACGTTATGCTACTAGATCAAAGCAATCTAAGACTGAAATTTTAAATAACAAATTACTACGGCCATCAGACGTTTCGAATAAATTGTAATCTAATCCAATGTTTATTATTATTTTAATGTGCAACAATCTTCCACCGAGACTAATTTAACCAGATTCAATGCCACAAACTGCATCAAGAAGCTCCGTGACATGTCACCAAAACATATGCAACACGCCAAACTCAAAACTAGTCTCTACAAAAGCTTATGATCTGACGCCCACGCTTAGAAACACAAAAAATCTTGAAATAAAAGTATGTTTTAAATGTTGTAAATAGAACACGTATATTATATATACGATATACATTTTTCAAATCGCTTTAATTTAAGTAAAATGAACCGTAGTACGGAGAAAATGTGAATTCGAATTGAGGTAGTACTGAGTCGACTACGTCTCGAATTTATAATCAGATAATGTATGACAATCGCGAAAGTTTAAGTCAGTGTCCAGAGTTTGGTGACCATCGCCGTGTTTGGTCGTCTGTTGAATGCTAAGGATCTTATAACACACGTATTATCGCTACGCGTTGTTCAGCGAAATTTTCGCTCAAATAACCTTGCTGTTTCTTACAACAGGTATAACCAACGTGACCATATGTCTCGCTTTTAAGTTTGTGTCCCGCTGTCCCCAAAACAGGATACACGTGACAATATATTTAATAATCTCAGTACGTGTCAGTACGAGTAAGTTTAAGAGTAATAACCAAAATTCTATTGTCTATCTGTATTGAATTGAAATCACCTAAACTCAGTACAGAGTAATAAATAATCTCAGTACAGAGTACTAAAAAAACCGACCTCAAAAGTACGTGGAATTACATCTATTTGCCGGATTCATCCCCTAGTTCGCCATTATACGGAACTTGACACAGGAGATAACAAAAATCGGTTCGCACTACTCAAAGTATATTGAGAGAGAAAAACGCCTTGAATAGGAGAATAGCAAAATCAACCATTAAAATAATTGCTCCTTATAATAAAATTTAGGTGCTATTTATAAAAATGAATCTTCATGCGTGAACCCTTAGAGGTGGACGACTTTCTTCAAAATGAAATGGGACCACTATGGAGGTACCCTCTTTCCAACAAAAAAGAATTGTGGAAATCGGTTCAAAATACCGGAGTTATCGCGTAACATACATACAAAAAAAAAAACAGTCGAATTGAGAACCTCCTCCTTTTTTTGAAGTCGGTCACCAGACTACACAAGATAAGTTCTTTTTTAAAATTTTTGATCATTAAACATTTTAGATCTTCTTTTTATCGTTAAACATTTCGTAACTGCACAAAAATGTGTTTTATTTTTAAAATAATAATAAATTTACAGGCGTCCCGCCCTGAGCGAGAAATTATGGTCACTTTAGGTATAACATTAGTTCCAGGAAATATTATATTTTAGTAAATAAATGTGGCTATTTACAAAAATAACATTTATCGATTTGTGAAACGTTGTAACTTTCCTATTTAAGCATCAAAAAATTATAATTAATTTCGTTCTTTGAATCTTTACATCTTTCTCCCGACAAGTTGTAATTATGCAGATGTGACCTTATTATAAATAGGGTGCGATCTTTGGTCGTCACCATTGGACTTTGAATAGTTGTTATTGCTAACGCTATAGAGTTGAATTTAAATCTAAAGTGTCAAGCTTGACGTGCTCTTAACCCTGTACGTAGTTAACAATTGAAATAGTTGGAGAATCTTCTAGAATCAGGCAACATTGAGCTGCTAACAATGTATGTTCTCGATAAATCGTACACTTACTTGGACTTTATTGACTGTTTGAAGTACATATGTATATCTTTTTTTTTTTACTTGAATTGAAGGTTATAACTAGTTAGGTGTTAAAAGTAATTATTTTGTTATAATTATTAACACAAAGATCTAGCACTAAGAAAAAAATTCCTTCGATCCGGCCAGATTCGAACCAACGTCTTCCAACAAACCGTGTCAGACGCCATGCCAACTAAGCCTCGGATCGAACGGTGTTTGTTGCAGATCTATGTTTTTAATTTTTTTTAACGACATTTTTTCCGTAGCGCCATCTGTGAGAAATCTATTTTATCTTCACTAAGCCAAAGTGGAGTAATTTCACAAAAATACTAAATACCATGGTGGTCAAACATGGCGACATTGAAATAAACATAAAAAATACTAATTGTTTTGTTTGTCGTAGCTTGCAACTGCAACTCTTTCTCTGAGAAGTGCTACTTTGACAAGGAGTTGTACGAGCGCACGGGCCACGGAGGGCATTGCATCGACTGCGCCTTAAACCGCGCCGGGCCTAACTGCGAACGCTGCCGCGACAACTACTACGAGGACAGCAATTCCATCTGCCTGCCATGCGACTGCAACCCTGTCGGTGAGAAATCGCCATATAATAATTCTGAACTTTTTGTCAAAATAGGCGCTGAACTGCCAGTTTTATAGTCTATAAACGTGAATATCTAGAATTCAACAGATACTTGTAAAATCTAGACATATTTCATGTTAGACTGTAATTATAAAATTTGTATATTTTCATTAATAACTTTGGACGTTATTATAATTTCATCTAACAATCTTTACAGTGCCCTAAAACGATGTTTTCTTTCTGAGTCCCCCCAGTAACTAATATTAACTATTACTATAACAATATTTGGTAGCAGGAGACCTCATTGTTAAAGAGTCCGTCAGGGGTAGTGTAGCACCTTACCTATTTCTGCCGCCAAGCAGTAATGTGAGCATTACTGCGTTCCAGTTTGGAAGGGTAAGGGTGCTGGTGAAATTACAGGCACATGGGACTTGTCAACTTATGCCTCAGGGTAACGAGCGCAGTGGCAGTTCTTGTTCGTCCCATTCGTATTATAAATAAAAATCACTTGTGTGCGCCTAAAAAAGGAAAACATTTGAAGGGAGTCTGCAAAAGAAAAATAAATTCGTAGCAGTATAACATAGTACAACTTAATTGGTCAAGAATTGAAATCTAGTGTCACCATTTTCATGACCAGGGATCGGAATTTACCTGAACTTATAATAAGTAGTGAATAGGAACTTATACATGTCAGAAAATGTTCTGTCTCTGTTCGTCGAACTTTCGGTAAAAAAACTGTACCTTTTCCGATCCCTGGTCATGACTCACCGCTTACAAACATCTACTAAATAACAAACTTGATGGTCAGGTTCCCGCAGCCTTCAGTGCAACGTGGAAGGCAAATGCCAGTGCAAGCCGGGCGTGACCGGCGACAAGTGCGACACGTGTGCAGCAAACCACTACGACTTCACGACACTGGGCTGCAAACCCTGCGGCTGCAACGAGTCCGGATCCTACGCCAACGTCCCGCAATGCGACCCCATTTCGGGGGTCTGTCTTTGCAAACAAAACGTCGAAGGACGTCGCTGCAGAGAGTAAGTAGCTTTTTCACTTCTCATGCCTCTAAAAGTAGTTACTACGTCAATTTAGCCTCACGTAGCGGGAGTAGAGTGCATTATTTAATTCCAATGGAGTGAAAAGTATCTAGTATTTTAATTTACTTCGAGTGACTTAGACAAACTCAAACAGCCAGTACTTGGTCTAGTTTGTGCCAAAAGGTAAAAGTTATATAAGTGAAACAACAATTAAAAATAATCACAAAATAAAAAAAGATGATTGTAATTTAACATTTTATTAATTCATCAAAGTAAATAACCCTACAGTTTCACAGAGATCACTGCGTGCGGAAATTTTCATTACGAAAATGTTACGTTCGGTTTTAGTTCCGCCATATTATTTGCCACCGGTTAGTGCGCTTGTGAATGGAGTATTTTAGTAACGTCACGTAGCACTTAAATCTGTGACGGTGTGACCTCCTTATACCGTCATCTCACCCCTTTGTATCACCTCTCTCCGCTTGTATCCTATCATTTTTTTTATTTTACATGTATTTAAATTTTAAATTTGAATTGTTCCATCTTCCTTCACTGTCCCATTTTGTTTTCGTACAACGGTCACTCCCAGCTCGACCGCCATCGCCACAACAGTGTCGGAGCTGTTCCAAATTCCATTTACTAAAATCTTATTTTTTATTCTTTACCAAGTTATAATACAAACCATATAATACAACAGTCGGAGCATAAAAAAATATCAAAAATTTGCTGCAATAGTTTTTCGACCAAAAATGAAGCCATAAACCCGGATGTAATGGTGCCGCCATTGAAACCCTGGCCATTACACGAATATAAAGATTTGTACAGACGCTTTCTGGCGCTTTCTAGCGCTTTCTAGCGCTTTCTAGCGCTTTTCAAATCGTTCTAAAGAGGCTCATGATCGCTAAAGACCGCTAATCGTGGCGTCGAGTTGGAAAAATAATACTGCGAAAAGTTCAGAACTTTGGTTCATGATTTTGTTGTAGAGCGTAAACGATTGACATATTTTTTTTCTCGCAATCGAAGTGAAAATTAAAGTTTTCACCTCAAGACTAAAAGCCAATATAAACCCTCGGGAGTAAAAGACACTCGCTAAAGCTCGAGTGGCTAACCACCTCGGGTATACATTGGCCCGATCTAGACATGAGTCATGGATAAATATCCATTTTTACTCGATACTTATCCAAAAACGTGGATAAATATTTTTAATCGTGGTTTATTATTTACATTTAGTAAAACAAAGTATATTTTTAAAACACTTTGTGTAACTACACAATTATAAACATTTATTTTTAATCAAGTGTTTTAATTAACAGATTTTGTGTGTGAAATGTGAAAGAGAATCCTTAGCTATTTTAAGTCCAAAGATGGCTTTATTTAGTACGCGGGAGACCTCAAGACCATAAAGTTGGGTCGCACTTTATTAACGCAGGGTAGGTCAGCTCAAGGGTTACAGTTCATTTGACAACTTTCTGTCAAGCGAAGTTTTTATACCACTCGACTCGAAAAATGTTGATAGAACAGTATTGTTACACAAAAGAATGGCAAAAACGTAATTATTCAATAAAAAAATAATTCCAATGAATTTTATTATAAAAAACAAAAAATAATTATCCCTGTTTTAGGATAAATACTCAGTAGAAACGGATATTTATCCTTCGACGGATATTTATCGGGTAAAAACCCATCTCTGACCCGATCTAATTTTATTATTAAAAACCATAAGACCGCACCATACGACGCAAGCATGTACGGGAAAAGACAATGTTTATGTTCTATATTCATAGTACTAAAGCATCGTGATAATCAATAAACTTCAAGTTACAATGATTTAAGCGACATCTCTAGTCATCCTAGTAACTGTACCTAAAGTACTAGCAGAGTGTAGAAAAACTTTCATAGATTTCTCACAGATGGCGCAACGGCAAGATAGTCTTTAAGAAAAACAGAGATCTGCAACAAGCACAGAAAAATTCGTAGCATCTGCTGGTTCGTTTCGTAGCATAGTTGGGAGAGCGTCGGCCTAATATATTAAAGACGTCGAATCCAACTGGATCGAATGAATTTTTCTGTGTTCGTTCTTTGTATTAATAATTAAATTATTATTATTATCATTATCATAGGATAGAAAACAATAATGGATATTTTCAGATGCAAACCGGGTTTCTTCAACCTGGACCTCGACAACGAGTTCGGGTGCACACCATGCTTCTGCTTCGGGCACTCGTCAGAGTGCAGTTCCGCACCCAAATACAGTGCACACGAGCTCAGCGCGCACTTCATCAGAGACTCCGAGAAATGGAGCGCGGAAGACGACCAACATAGGCCAGCTACATTACATTTCAACGCCAGCTTCCAAAACATCGGTTAGTACTGTTATGGATGTCGTCGATACAATTTATTGTGAGAACAACATCACTACTCAGCCACTTATCTATACTTTTCGTAAGCAATCATTTGGCAGACTTTACAAAGCATTTTCTTTGCAGCTGTGAAGTCCAGAGGCAACGAAGTCGTTTACTTCTTAGCTTCGAGCCAGTTTTTGGGAGACCAGCGCCCTTCATACAACCACGATCTCAAGTTCACGTTACGACTTGGAGAAAGCCGAGGCTATCCATCCTCACAGGATATTATCATCGAAGGCTTCCGTACTTCTATAGCTATGAACATCTATGGCCAAAACAATCCAGAACCTTCAGATCAGGTGCGATTTTTTTTCTGAATTTGCAGTAGCTATGCGATATACAAAGTCTCGCGAATTCAACATCAATAATTTGTCACTTGCGACTGTAAATTTTTTGTGATGAGAAATTACAATACAGATTCTCAGGATATAATTTCTTGCGTTTTAGGCTCAAGAGTACACCTTCAAACTTCATGAAGATCCCCGCTACGGATGGACACCAACACTTCCCAACTTCGAGTTCATGTCTATCCTTCAAAACATAACCGCAATTAAAATTAGGGGAACATACAACAAAGGCGGCGTAGGCTATCTTACAAGTTTCAGGCTAGAAACTGCAAAATTGGGCCGAGAAAAAGGTTCAGTCCCAGCAAATTGGGTAGAAAAATGTTCATGTCAAAAAGCCTACGTGGGAGACTATTGTGAAGAATGTGCCCCAGGGTTCAAGCACGAGCCTGCTAATGGTGGACCTTATTCCACTTGTATACCTTGCGACTGTAACGGTCATGCGCACATTTGTGATACTGCAACTGGTGAGTAGTATTTCCTAAATTCAACTTCAATACGGTTTCTCAGAAGTCTCAAGGTATTTATTTTTCAGGTTTCTGTATCTGCAAGCACAACACTACGGGTAGCAACTGCGAGCTCTGCGCGAAAGGGTTCTACGGCAATGCCATCGCAGGCACGCCCTACGACTGTACACCATGCCCCTGCCCTAAAGACAGTGGTTGTATTCAGCTTATGGACAAGACCATCGTTTGCACCGACTGTCCTGATGGCTATACTGGTAAATAAAAACCATAACATTGTTTTAGTGTCTGCATTCAAACAAACATCACAATTACCTAATGTGTTTTAGGGCCTAGATGTGAAGTCTGCGCGGACGGGCACTTCGGAGACCCTATCGGTAGATTTGGGCCACAAGCCGATTGCGTGGAGTGCCAGTGCAACGGCAATGTAGATCCTAACGCCGTGGGCAATTGCAATAGGACTACTGGAGAATGTCTGAAGTGTATTTATAACACCGCAGGAGAACGTTGCGACAAATGTTTACCAGGTAAAGGAGAGCTCAGAGGTGGTGCAAAGGTTTTGTAATGACGTTCTGAATGTGTGTCTAAGTGTCATTGTCGTATTGGACCGCCTGCACTGTATGTTGTCACGTAGGTTAAAGGGTCAGTCCACATAAACTTATTGTAAGTAAGAGGAAAAGTGTCATAAACAGTCCAGACATACCCCAAAACATGATGAATCGATATGCACGTCTTCACGCTTCGAGAATTTTGACGAGAATGACGAGCGTAATAATAATAAAGAAAAGGAATTAGAGAACGATTCAAAATTTCAAAAGTAAGTGGACAGGAACCAGTAAAGAGGGTGATGAAAATGTGGGATGACGATGAAGGAGGTCACATCGTCATATTGTTTAGTTTTTCAAATAATTTGAAATGTAAAAATTAAACACTAAATTAAGTATAATAATAAAGCTATAATAATAATAAAATAAAGCTGATGTCATACACCGTCGCGTAAACAAGTCTGCAGTCTGCGAGCATGTCATGGATAAACCTACACATTCAATGAAGTTTGACAAACCCCAGGTCCTTGCAAAAGAAGTCCGTTAACTACCCAGGATGCTGCTGAAAAATCCCAAACAGACATAAGACTGCAGTACTAATTAATATGTTTTAGTTTATTCTAATTTATATTAATAATTAATAATAAATTGAACTTAATAAAAATTCATTCAATAAAATAATTTGTAAAACTTAATGTAGCGTAAATTGGAATGTTTTCTTTGTAAAATTAAAAATAAGGTCTTTAATTAATAACTATTGTAACTATAGTGAACAAATAAGGTGGCTTGCATCAATATTAGACATAACTGGTTGAAGACTGTACCACCTCAGTCAACCGTGACCATGGGACCTGTAAAGGGCCCGAAACGTCGGTTTGTTTGAAAAAACAAATCCGGAAAAATAGTTTCATTTCCTATGTGTAACAATCGCGAAAACCTAAGAACTCGATAATTAAGTAGGTATAAGTTAAAAATGTTAAATAAGCATTTATAGCTATGGAAGAGCGGTGCCTCCTGACACAGGCTTGATAAGCTTAATAGGAGGTACCATCCACTGTTAATGTAAAGTTAATCGTATTACTGAAATAAACATTTTATTTATTTATTATTATTATTATTTGATGCTCTATGGAATTTTCTATAAATTGTTCACAATCTCCAGGTTTCTTTGGAGATGCCCTAGACCCGAAGAAGAAAGGCGATTGCAAGCGCTGCGAGTGCCACGAGGCCGGGACGCAAGAGAGTCCTGACGGGGCGCTGCAGTGCGATGGCTTCACCGGGCTCTGCGCGTGCCGTCCGCACGTCATTGGGCGGAACTGCGATAAATGCGAGGTAAAGAAAGATACGTCGATAAATTTTTCATCAATCATGCAAAGATAGCAGGCCCTGGTTACAAAAAAAACATCGTTTTGTATAACATAAACCACGGGAAGCCAGTTCCGAAAATCGAACGATGCTTTTATTCACAGACTACAATTTGTAAGTTATATTGCAAATCACGCTCATTGGTTATAGTAAACGTCATGGCATAATCTTTATAGTACCGCTATGATGGCCGTTTTGACGTTTGTCCGATCATCTAGTTTCGTATTAATTCACAACTACATACATTGTTGTCAATAGTGACGTGCAGTAAAATTTATGAAATATATATTTTTACGACACAACTCGGCATTTGTTGTTCGAAATTCGAAATTTTTTAAATCGAAATATAATACGATCGTCACTTATGGGATCGCTCGCCAGCACAACTTCTACCTCTGGCAAACTCACGTCAAAGCTCACTGCAAATCAAAGCAGTGTCGAATGGAGTATATGTTAATTAAACATGTTTATTTTCGTTTTATTAAAACTTTTTAATCAGCTACCCCTTGCAATACTTTATAGTTAAGTTATAAATATAAAAACTTATAGACGCGACTCGCATTTGATTGTTTTTTTTCGATAATAAATTGAGATTTGACCTCACTATTGTAATCTGTCAAAACGGCCATCATAGCGTGCCTGTACTGTAGTAAGGTAAGATATATTTTTAAGTTTTAATATACGTATCGGTAGCAGTAGAACTCATAATTCGCCCACGGAAGTACTGCCACCTTACCTATAGTAATTACTTTAAACAAGTTCTTTGTCAATTCAAATTATAGAAGCAAAAATTTAGTATGAACCTCTTTCATGTACTGATCGAAATTCAGATAGAGATGATTTTTCTTCAATTTTTCCAGATTATACTAAGCTCCATTCTGCGGTGTTGCCATTTACATGAAATTTTAAATTTTAAATAGAAAACCACCGTGAGACTCAGACATATTAACTAAAAATAACGGATAACTCACGAATATACAAAAAAAAATTTGACTTTATTATGAAATTTAAATAAAAAATAACACCTGGTTTAGCAAATTTTGTTATACTATACCTTAAGCATCGATTATATAACCAATACTCGATGATCTTAGGCCTCTTACCTAATTATGCCGTTAAAAAGTAATATGAGAATCGCTGCGTTTCGGTTTTGAAGGGTAATCGTGCTGGTGTAATTATAGGCATGTGGGTTTTGTCAACTTATGAATTAGGGTGAATATATAAATAATAAAAAATGCCACTGAAATTAGACAGGGAAAACTAACCTCAAAATTACCCTATTGTATCATACAATATTATTTGTTGACTCACTGACGATGATACACTGAAGATTTGTTACGTTTAATTTGTAACAGGACGGCTACTACAACATCAATTCAGGAGAAGGCTGCAAAACTTGCGAGTGCAATCTCGAGGGCTCGTACAACAGTTCGTGTCACCCCTTCACCGGCCAGTGCTTCTGTAAGCCTGGTATCGACGGGTAAGAATTTTAGAAAATCTACTTAGATTCAGATCACTGCTGGGCATAGGCCTCCTCCAACGATCTCTCCACGTCGATTGGTCCTGCGCTGCCTGCATTCATCGGCTTCCCGCGACCTTTACCAGATCATCGGTCCAACTAATCATACATTTAGATTCAGATGTTTAAAAATTGTTAAAACAGGATATGAAAATCTTATTTGGATATTTGAATAGCGGGGCTGGTAGCTGTAAAGGTGTCTAACTGGGGTGACGAAATACTTTCATAGATTTTTCATAGATGGCGCTAAGGCTAAAAGTCATTGAAAAACCAAATACAAAGACACGACCATAAGCACATAGAAAAATTCGTGAGGTTTCGTTCGTTCCGTGGCTTAGTTGGTATAGCGTCTGGCACGATATCGCCGGTTCGAATCCGCCCGGATCGAAGGATTTTTTTGAGTGTTCGATCTTTGTATTATAACTAGTGGAGTCATTTCACAAAAATAATTGAATATCAATTCAATAAAATTTAAAATTACAAAATAATTTTCACTATTTGAGAAAACAATATCCTGAACACATTGACCTGAACAACTCAAAGATGACGATGGCAAGTGATCATAAAATCACAATCGAGCTGAGCCTGCCCGAACGAACTACTTTTGTAATCGTGAAAATAGAGGGGACAGCAAATTTAAAGTGGGCCCCGGGCGACAGAAATGGACGCTACGTCACTGTTAAAGAGTTTCACACTCACACAGCTCAGAAGCATAAGGTCGGTCAGGAGGTCATAGATAGGGCATCACTGTACATCTCATACTTAGTATATGTATACATTGATAACACAGAAAGCACTGCGACCGCTGCCGCGCCTACCACTACGGGTTCTCAGCGCTAGGATGCGAGGACTGTGATTGTGACAACTGGGGCTCCAATAACTACCAGTGCGAGATCGACGGCCAGTGTTCTTGTCAGCAGAACGTTGAAGGTCGTCGCTGTGACAGGTAAACAAACCGTTCGTACAAAAATAAAAATTGTTATTATTAGAATGAAATGAACCACAGCTCTTCTTCACACAACTTTGATAAATAATGGACCTAACGGAGCAATGCTTGGGCACATCTAGGTGTATGGAGAACAATATGCGCCGAGCGGATGGACGGGGCTGTGAGAACTGCCCGCCTTGCTACAACCTCGTGCAAGACGCCGTTAACCAATACCGCAAGGAGTTAGCAGAACTTAACGAAGTAAGTGGGTACGAAGATGCTATGATGCAACTCAGAAGCTACTTAACAAACGCCTACAGAATCTGGCAATACCTTTCGTAATTGGTCTGCGTAAATAAGACCATATATCTGAATTTCGATCTAAATGAAAATGGCTCCAGATCTGACTTCGCAGAGATTTACACAGCCTTTGTCTTCTATACAAAATCTTACACTAACTACCCCCAGCTTCCTCACTATCTACGTTCCCGTTTTACTCTCTCACTCCCATTTCTTGTCCAAACCGAACCTGTGACACTAGAACACTTTTATGTCCCCAATCCCATACCAATTTTATCCACTATTCTTTTACAGTTAGTGCAGCTCGTATGTGGAATAAATTACCTGCTAGCATTCGTGACAGTCCATCAGTTGCATCATTCTGTTTACATTATAATATATATTGTGTATGTATATATTTATGTATAAAAGTTTATGTAGGCGTACATTTTAGTCGTATTTATTTTGTCATCGTTGATATTTATATTTACAGTTAAATTTTTAATAAATTTATTGTACAATAATGTCCCGCAGGCTTACTTTATTAACCACGTCTAGGGTTGGCTTCTAGAGATGAGCTCACCTTTGTGTAGGTGTGACCTTTGTAACATGTAATTTTTAATGTCGTTTATTTGTACAGTAAAGAATTATAAATAATTATGTCACTTAAATAGTTCTACACGTCATAACCGTTTTTTAGCCACAAGGTACAATCCCGTTAAACTGTTTCCCCTGTTACTAAAGACTAAGCGCGCTTACGGGCTGCACCCGATTCGTATCTGGGGGGCTACTCTGGTTCTTCTTCCAACATCCGTCCGAAACAATTACTGTCAAATAAGTAATATTCGACAAAATGAAAAGACAAGTATCAAGTATGAAGCTTCATTCGCATCACGCGTCTTTTCATTTGGTCAAGTATTGCTTATTTGGCAGTAATTGTTTCGGACGGATGTCGGACGGAGATCGAGAGTAGACCCACTGTTCCGATTCCGAGACTATACAAATCTAGAAAATACGGATCCACTTCGGATGTCACATGTGCACTAAATCCGGGTCGAATCCGAGGAAATACGAATATCACTTGTACACCTAGAGATAAAATTATCCCTGTGACATTTCGGGCTGTCGTTTCTCGGATTCGGAACAAGGCGTCTATTCGTCTTACGTCCGAAATCCGTCCGAAACAATTACTGTCAAATAACTAATACTCGATTTAAATCTCTGAGTGGCACTGCAACTGTTATAATAATTATTATTATTATTTATTTCGGAACGTAAAATATCCATAGTATGTTAGTAAAAGAACTTAATGTCAAGGTTAGTAATGATCAGAGCAACTTAATTATATTTCAAACTGGGCTATGCCCTTAACTTGCACTATCCAATATTTCTGGATAGGACAATCATACTCATCAGCGAGACACTTTTTGTGTATGATGGCCTGGAAGCTGTCCGTGTGACCCACCGTAAACATACCCGGTGCACTACACCAGTTTAGCAGTCTAAATGCATTATAATATTGCACGCGCAGGTTATAGACAGGCGTGTCGCTTACCATCAGGCGCACGACTTGTTCGTCACGTCAATTGATATTATAAAAAAAAATAGGTCCAGTATTACACGTCCCTGTCTACCGACCTGAGAGATAGGGTTTTCCGGAGAGACTACGGGCTCGACGGCAATACCAGGGTACGGCGGACGTCCGCTTGTGGTTAGCTCCTGGGACGAACACGTTCGTCTGCCCCAGCGTCTGTCTTGCGCGCAGCTAGCGCGTCTTAGTAACGGTCTGGTTGAGAGCCCGGGGCGAGGTGACGCGCGGGGCACGTGAATTGCCCTTTAAGTCGGTGGCTGTGTCCGGACATTGTCGCAGGACACTGCCACTTGGCATCTCCGGCACTAACCCGGAGAGCTAATAGAGAATGAGCTAGATATCTTCCGATCCCTTCGACCGCGTAGGAATTTGAGAAGTGAAGAGACGCCGTTCATTCGACGTCAGGAAGTGAGCGTACCTTAAAACTCCGCCACCAAAGGAGATTTGGTAGTCGGCTTAAAGTTGGCGGCTCAGCGGTGGTAACTGTTAGTCGTGCGGAGCGCGACGGGAAATGAGCGTGCCTACAGCTCCGGTACCTATTTGGAAAATAGGGAGGGTGCTGCACGTGCACCCGGGGCGGCTCACTTAAGGCACTAGCCTTTCAGAGAACAGAATGAAGGACTTACAAACATGCTAATCCGGGGTTAGGACCTGTCTTAGATGGTCCCTGTGCGAGCTCGTCATGCATAACCAAGAGGTTGATAGTGAGGGACACTACAAACAAAACTTATGTAGAAAGATAAGAGACTGTTCGAGCATTACATAATATTAATCAAAGTCAAAGTCAAAGATTATTTATTCCATAGGTAAAATAAATTTACACTTGAAAACGTCACATTTAAGCTACTGCTCGTTCACTACGCTGACCTCCCTGAGAAGAACGAGCAAGAAGCTCTAGGGATTGCTCTTTTCAAATAAACTTAAATACTATGGAATACACTTTGAATCAAATTTGTGTGGATTCTGGAGCCATGTCGTCTTTCCATACATCTTTATCTAACACGTAGTCTTCAATTTTGTAATATGATTTTTCGATCAAAATATTTTTAATGTAGTTTTTAAACTTAGGAAATGATAAACTTAATATATGCTCCGGAATCTTATTGTAAAAACGTATACAGTTCCCCATAAAAGAGTTGTTTACCTTGGTTAAACGAAATCGTGGTACCATGAGTTTGGACTTAGCTCTAAGGTTAATATTATGTAATACTCGAACATATTAATATTAGTAATTGTTTCGTGCGGACGTTGGACGGAGGACGGGAATAGACACCCTGATATGAATCGGACGTAGCGTAACGTTAAACATAAACATTACAGATTAGGTCCGTGACTGTATATTGACGGTAACGTGGTTCGTAATTTTAGATCTTAGCAAAGATTTCGAAGACGCCGACAGTCGTGGAGAACCAGGACTTCGATAAAGAGCTGCAGCAAGTGCGGAAGGAGATCGAGCGCCTGGTGGCGGAGACGCAGAGTGATCTCAACCTGGGATCCGCATCTAACATCACCGACAACCTAAACGAGCTCAGTGGACGACTTGATGATATCAGGTATAAATGCAAGAGACATTGAATTCTATAGGTGCATATTTTAAAATACCAAAAACTAGGAAATCAACATTTACCGAAAATTGTTTTCGATACCGATCAACAACTTAGTTAACCGAGAATATGATCATGTAGAGAATGATTATGTATCTGAAATCTATAATTAAAATAATCTTTTGATAACCAGGGGCATGTTGACGAAGATCGAAGAGGAGTGCATCGACGGCAACGATGCCATTGACAAGAGTAAAGGCAACGTGTCTAGGGCCGAGGACACCATAGAAGCTGCGCAGAAAGAAATTAATGTAAGATTTATTAGCCCTAACTCCGTGAACCACCTATCTCACAATAATTTCTTCTCATTGCCATAGTATAAATAAGACACATAGGCCAGCTCCAGCCTGTTCGGCGCGTCAATGCCTGCACTTCGCTCGGAACATAGGCTTATCACATTATTAATTTAGTTGTGCCCACAGGTTGTAAAAATATTTAAAATTAAAGTGTTTACAGCATTTTCGTGCTATATTGAAATAACCTGTGTGGAATGGGGGGTGCAGAGGGCGCCATGGCTCCGGGCAGCACAGCGATGGTGGCGGCGCGGCGAGTGTGACTGAACCGATGATCTCATACTGAGGCTGAGCACTAACCAGTCAAAATTATTTCTTTTACTTAAAATTAGAAAATAAATTTCACTATTTGGGAAAACGATATCCTGAACAAGACAGAGGTGGCGATGGCAGGCGAACATAAATCACAATCGCGCCAAGCCTACCCGGACGAACTACGAAATAAACGGAAACAAAGTTCTTTATTTTTACTTCTTAATTAATAAATTTCTATAAGTATGTCTTTCAACCTTGATACTTGTTTATACAAACAGATTTTCGTACCTACTGATGTTATTTATTTATGTTTTGAATTTTGAATACTGTGACCATTCATAGGGTCTTTGAGAGACTAGTTTAAAGAAATTCATTCGATGATGTGTGCAATCGCGTGAACTTACCCTTTTCTTATCTTATCTGTGTAAAGCACACTATAGGCTGCATAAATCTGTAACCGCGGAACATTGACATTAGTGTTGCTGTCCATACTTATTTTTGTAGAAGTAAACTGACGTACGTAACTTTTTTCACAGAGTGTACTAGAGTATTTAGAAGGCGAAGGTGCCGCAGCACTGGCCAAGGCGAGAAACCGCTCCGATCAGTTCGGCAAGCAGTCGGGGGAAATGTCGGCCCTTGCTAAAGAATCACGCCAACTGGCAGAGAAACTTGAGAACCAGTCGCGCAACATCCGCCACACAGCCGAAAAGGCTTTCAACACATCGTTAGACGCCAAAAGGATTTCTAAAGATGGATTGAATAAACAGGCTAACATCAGGTATTAGTTTAAGATTTTTGTGTTTACTCGCTAAATGAGTGCCCCTAGTTGCAGGTTTTACCACGGTCTGACTCGAAATCTGGAAGTGCCAAACGCTTAATCTAGGGCTTGGAATTCAGTGCTTAGTGCCTTACAATAGCAATAATAAAAACTAGAATATTTCGACTTCAGTTTCACATAAAGATACAGTGAGTGTAATTTGTCGGGTAAAATAAGTGACAATGGTAACACCGCAAGAAATTAAGATGAGGGTAGTCGTCTGCAGCGAAAGACGGTAGATAGATAAGTCTGTCCTTAATGTTCTCAACTTCCGCAAACCACTTAGCGTGTAACAGTTCTAAAATATCGGGATAATAATAAGAAATTATACCATGTTAAGAAACCTGCAATTTCTGATTACCACAAGGTGCGAGCTTCTTGAAGCCAACTTTAAGAACATGGACTTTAAAATGACCAGAGCTTAGATACTACGAATATAATACAATATTAAATAATCATTACGTATACCGTTTTTAGTAACGAAGTACAGATCCTTGCAAACGAACTGAAGTCTGTGGAAGCCAAGCTGGAGAGCATGGTAGATGTGGCCGATCAGGCGCTAAAGGCTGCCAAAGCAGCATACGATGAGGCGCTAGGCTTGTACGCTGAGGTCAACACTACAGTGTTGCCAGAACTAAACCTTGAAAAACGAAAGATTGAAGCTGCCAACTTGAATAAGACTGTAAGTATCTTCATTACAGGCGTACTTTTAGTTACTAATTGCTAAATATCTATACTTATACTGTTGCTGTCCATGTGTTTATTTTCAAATAAATAGCGTTAGTTTAAAGTACTAAAGTTTCGCAAAAATGGACCCTATGAGTATGACCAATGGGAGTAGAGGCAAGAGGATTTGTATACCGATTCAGTCTCAACATTATCAATACGTGTTGGTTTGTTCACTTGCACACCATTCTCTGTACATTTTATTTGTCAGATCGACATCAAAGCTGAGGAATTGGAGAAACTCCGAAAGGAGAACGAAGATACAATTCAGCGGTTAAACGAGGAGATGGGACGAGGGCGGCAGTTGCTGAACGACGGATTGAACAGCCAGGAGCGGCTCAACGATCTGCTTGCGAGACTCGACGAGCTGCACGCGCAAGCGAAGAGCGACGTCGAACTGACTAAGGCAACCCTGAAAGACGCAAACGAAATTTACAAGACTTTAAAGGGTGAGTTATGCAAAACGCGTTTGAGGTTAATATCGAGATGGCTTTCCCGGATGATCGGAAGATTTAAAAGTGAGGCTTGCTAGAATTCCAATCGTTAAGGGGTTATTTTAGGACTAACATTGACTTTAAATAGTATATCAATACCTCTAATGAACAGTACGCCAAGTTTTCATTCAGTTTAGTTTTAATTTGGTTGGCATAGCGTCTGGCAAGGTTTGTTAGAATACGTCGGCTCGAATCCCACCGGATCGAAGGATTTTTTTCTAAGTTTTCGATCTAGTAATTTCACATAAAAAATAATTGAATATCAATTAAATAAAAATTTAAATACAGTGAATAGCGACATCTCTAGCCGGGTCTGGTAGATGCAAAGGTCAAAAGGACGAAATACTTTCATAGATTTCTCATAGATGGCGCTACGGCTAAAAAATCGTTGAAAAACCAAAGACAAAGATACGACAACAAGCACATAGAAAAATTCGTGAGGTGCGCTGGTTCGTTCAGTGGCTTAGTTGGCATAGCGTCTGACACGGTTTGCTAGAAAACGTCGGTTCAAATCCTGCCGGATCGAAGGAATTTTTTCTGAGTATTCGATCTTTGTATTAATAATTATAACAAACTAGTGGAGTAATTTTACATAAAATAATTGAATATCAATTCAATAAAAATTTAAAAAGAGTACGCCAACTCTATTCTTTTGGCCATTTTCTGTTTTTAATGTAAACAGCGTTATTTTATTTACTAATATTATGCTCCCCGAATTTAGTGAAAAAAATAAAGACAAAAAAAACAAAATCCGAAAAAAAACAAATTTTGTAAAAAAAAAAGAAAAAAAAACAAAATAAAAACTAAGATGAACCAAACAAATAATTGGCGTAGTGTTCATTGGAGGTATCAATATGCCACCTTGACTGCGCTATCCATGGCCGCGTAGAGATCTTCCCTCGCACAGGTATGGGCACAACAGCAAGTGCTTCATGAACTGTCTTGTGTCGAGTTAGACTAGCTTCCCTGAACCCCCATTTACACATCTTGTCTCTGCAACGACCTATCTGAGTGCGAAGTCGATGCAAGAACTTCCACATGGGCCACCACAGAAGAGTTAAGAGGTTCAAAATAATCAATGGTTGCAGAATTCAGCGACAAAGTGACGGAGTCTCGCAAACTGGCTGAGCAGGCAGCGGTGGACGTACCAGACGTGCAGTACAAGGTTGCGGAGGCAGAAAAAGCCATCACCAGTATCAGCGAGGAGCTTAACACCGCCAGCGAACGTGCCAAAATCGCGCGCGACCTCGCACAGCAAGCGCAGAAGGAATACGCTGACAAAGCTTCTGAGGTAAGCAAATTGTCTTCTCATTTAGCTCTTGTGTTCTTTTCCGGATGAAGTCCGTGATAACGGTCTGTGGCAACCCAGTACAGGCTGATTTGGGGTCGGAACCAGAACTTATTAAGATCCCGTGCGGGCTTGCTTGCACTGGTTATAGTGCTCTTCCCATTTAACCAGGAGATTATGCGGCACGAACCGATGAAAGTTAAAATTGTAAATAAAAAAAATGGTGGTAAAAAATCCTGAGATTCAACAAAAACCATTGACTTACAAATAAATGGACGACGGGTCTAATACAAAAATCACGAAAAAAATGTCCCAAGTCAACCTATTTAAACGTATTGACATGAATAGGAATATGAAAAAGCTAAAACGTTGAATTTAAATTGTAATGTCATCGCAGTACTGTCTAATTTTGCTTGCTTCGCTGTCAGAAGAAACAAACGAAGACTAAAGCGTGAATGACGCTCTGTATACGATTTTAACGTCCTATAAGTTCGGACACTTTTTAGCGCTGACCCGACGTCCATATAATTGTAAGTCAATGACAAAAACTTATTATTATTATTCCCTTGTTTGAGAACTGTGAAAGTATGTCATTGTTACAATGCAGTTTCTACATTATTTTAATTGTTCCAGGCTGCTCACGAGACCAGGAAGAAAGCGACGTCGGCCAGAGCAGACGCCAGCAAACTCAGATACGAAGCAGACAAATTGTTTAGTAAGTATCGAGTTCTTAGGTTTTCGCGATTGTTACACATAGGAAATGAAACTATTTTTCCGGATTTAAATCGCGTATATTTATTTTTTCAAACAAACCGACGTTTCGGGCCCTTACAGGTCCCATGGTCACGGTTGACTGAGGTGGTACAGTCTTCAACCAGTTATGTCTAATATTAATGCAAACCACCCTATTTTTTCACTATAGTTACAATAGTTATTAATTAAATACCTTGTTTTTAATTTGTTTTTATTTTGGTTTGTTTGAAAAAACAAATATACGCGATTTAAATCCGGAAAAATAGTTTCATTTCCTATTTGTTTAGTAAGTGTCGATTTTGTATTCGTAATTTTTGTGCATCTTCAAAGCTCTTATTATAATATTAGCATTGTTTTTAATTCCCTACGAAAATAATCGGTTGGCCAAAAAGTCCGTGGTTCAGGTTAGTTTTATCTACCTAATATCGGTAATAATTTTTATAATTTGAATATTCGAATATAATACACTTCATGGTATTATTTTAGAATATGTAAATAATAAAAATTGCCACCGAAATTAGTTAAACTAATCTAAATATTACCCCAGTGCGGTTTTTGCCACTAACTATAATAAGTTTGAACAAAAACAGAACTTTGTAGAATAATAAAACCACGTAATTATTATTATACGTCAAAAGTGCTTTTATGATTTTACCCTTCAGAGCCCCTTCAGATTTTCACTGGTTTAGGTCTGCACAAAATTCTTTGAATGAACTCTACTTTGATAACGAAGAGAACTGTATTTTATACGTATACGAGGAATACTAAAATTATCCGAAAGATGGTAGAAGATTGTAAATCAACATGACCAATACATAATTAATTAAATTTCGATATATATATATACATACATATTTTCATTTATGCTTTGATACCGCGTTTTTTGTGACATCACGCCTATCCGTGACAGTTGCAGTGCTTTCAATTGCAAAGATTAGGTACATGGTACTTGTCAACTTATGTCTCAGGGTGACGTCCGCAGTGGCAGTACTCCCAAGGTCTTTGCGTTTTAAATCTCTGAGTGACACTGCAACTGTTATGGATAGGTGTGTCGCTTACCACCAGGCGCACGACTTGTTCGCACTGTCATTTGTTTTTATAATTGTTGTTTTATCGTTCAACTAACCAAATATTGTTACAGCGCGAGTGGAAAGCGACAGTATGGAAATAGATGACTTGGAAAGACAAACCCAAGAGGCTATGCAACTGACACATAATGCAAAACTTAAGGTAATACTTGTAGTCTTAGAATAATAACGCATAGAAACCTAGTCCGCACACGCTAAGTGAGGCAAATTGAAGCGCTCCCAATGGGCCTACACGAGCGGGCGGGCCTTCAGTGCTCAAGGTCAACTTGTACCGCGAACAGCTCAAGAATTTTAGCTAAAAATGACGAAATGTACGGTAAATGAGTGTAAAAATAAGTCAGACAAACATAAAATCGATACTAACATCACATTCCACGAGGAAGTAACGCGTTTCAACTTGTATTTTTATATAAATATTCACTAAAACCGAAAATTAAACTACTACTAAAACTAGCCTACATGAATTTTATTTTTGCCTCACTTGCGATAGTTCGTTTGATATGAAACTATCATTCTATGCGTTATTATTCTAAGCTTGTAGTATAGTCTAGATCTAATTAGAAGACAGTTTGAATCTATCGTCCTCATGCTGTCAAATCGATACATCCAATGGACACTATGCCAACTTAATTTTTTGGTATATTTCTGGTTTTCAAAACAGCCTTATTTTATTTATTAATATTATGCTCCACGAATTTTGTGAATAAAATAAAGTACAAAATACAAAGTTACAAAAAAAAATAAAAACAAATTTTGTGAAAAAAAATAAAGAAACCAAAAACAGAATAAAAACAGAGATGACCAAAAAATTAAGTTGGCGTAGTGTTCATTGGAGGTATCGAATTCGCATCTCGCGTATGCACAATATTATGATATTATAAGTGTCCCCGTTTTAAATAAAAGTAAAAAAAACCTTGAAAGTGGCTGAAACGCTAACTTCGAAAAGCCAAGAAAAATAAGAAACAAAACGTAAGGCGGGAAAGACTTGCACATTTGATTTTATTTTCTTCTTTGCCTTTCACGGTTAGCTTTTCAACTACTAAACTTATACAAAGATTTTTTACTTCGTCTCTAAAACGAGAAATCTTATTACACAAAAAGAAAATTTGGAAATAGGATTAGGATGATGGAGGTTGAGAGGAAAAATAAATAAATTCACACTTCCTGATACGCCACTCTAATTTATTATATTTTTTTATTAAAAAAAAAACCGTCCGCAAAAGTTTACTTATCTGCTTTTTAATGGAAATAAATCTATATATATGCCAAGTTTTATTCAAATCAGTTAACAGAAAGTGCGCGAAACCGGATTCCTAGTTTGCCACCCTTAAAGGTGGAATGATTTCTTCAAATATAAATGGGACCAATACTGAAAAAAAGAATATACAATATCTGTTCACAAATGCCAAAGTAATCACGTTACATACAAGAAAACTGCAATCGGATTGAGAACCTCCTTTTTAAAGTCGGTTAAATAAATGACCTGAATGACGATACTTACGTTGTCAAATTTTGTACATATATTATAATGTATAGACATCGTTGGCACCTCACGAATCACATAGACAAAATTAAAGCACGAATTGCCAACAGGTGGGGCAAGCCAACAACGACGCGACTGAGGCGGAGAGACAGGTAGAAAAGGGCCTCAAGGACCTCAAGGTCATCATGGATGAGCTGGGCGGAGTCACGCAAATCAATGACACTGTCTTAGATGCTTTACGTAAGTTAACGCTACTGTAATTTAATTTCAAAGAACCTTCTTTTTCCTCGTTGTATTATTGTGCAACGAAAGCTTTTCTAATTTTTATTCTTTTTTAAATTTTTTCTTTTTTCATATTAAAATGGCTAATTTTTTCTTTTTCACCGTTGTATTTATTGTGCAAGGAAAGTTTTTATTTTTAATTCTTATTTCATCTTTTTTCATATTAAAATGGCTAATTTCGTCACAGAAAACAGCATCAAAGAAGCGGAAATAGAGCTGAAACAAGTCGATCTGGAAGGAAGGATTAAGGCCCTTACTGAAGCTAAGAATAACCATCAGAAGTAAGTTGTTAATCGCAAAACCTATTCAGAATTGGAGCATGTTAACAAAGTTAACGAATGAAACTATTTTTCCGGATTTAAATCGCGTATATTTGTTTTTTCAAACAAACCATCATAAATACGCGATTTAAATCCGGAAAAACAGTTTCATTTCCTATGTGTAACAATCGCGAAAACCTAAGAACTCGAAAAGTTAACGAACTCTTCATAATAGGCATTGCTAGGTTCCTGTAGTAGACTGCCTAGCGCTGGGATTTTCCATTTTAAAAGCCGAATTGTAAGAGTACCAAGGCGCCCCTTTCCAGCAAGTCACTTCTGGACATCGAGTAGTCAACCAGAAATAGTCCATCCCTTACAACTCACCAGTCTAATGGTACTGATATCACTTTTAAATATCAACTCTCGTTTGCGCTGAAATCATAAATTAGAAAGCTGAAATAGTACAGCGCCAACAACTTACCTGTGTGTACCTCTCGGTATACTGTATTTATTGTAATAAATATCTCTAACTATGGGGGCTATTCCATTCGGTGGTGGGAAAAACAGCAAAACATCCAATTACAAAACAAACGGAATCACATTTCATCGGTAATTAATTTTCGACGACATCCGTCAATTGTTTCGAATTCGGGCTGACCAATCCGAGCGCAGTTGTCACCGTAATGATATGACAGAATAGTTTTCAAACAAATTAAATGACTTTTCGTCTCTATTTCTGGTTATATACTCGATGTTTCTGAACTTCTCTTTCTCCTTATCCCTAGTGCTGTACAACTGCATAGAAACCACAATATTGTCTATGTGAAGAGCTCATAATACTGACAAATTAAATAAATCTGGGGCCTTTGGCCAACAGTGGAACATTAATGTTAAAATAATCAGTATCGCCAATATTTCAGGATCCAACAGTAACTTGTTATAATCGTCACAATGTAACCGGCCCAATTTGACAGCTAAGGAAAACGATAGTATGTAACTTTGAATGCCATCAACGAAAAAATTTATTAACTTATTATGTTATGGAAAAATGTGATACAACATATTTAGCACGAATTCAAAAAAAAAAATGCAGTTTTGAGTTAGTCGGAGAAGTCCTAAAAGCAGTTACGTCCTGAATCAATTTTTGTTTTATAATAGTGGTGTAACTAATTATTCGCCGAATTTCACTGAGTCAATTCAACGTCACTTAAAAAAGTATTTGCATTTTGATTTTGAAAGAGATTTTATTATCGATAATATGATTGAAAACCAAATAATTACGCATATATATGTATATTGTTTTGCTTCAGAATTTTGCTACTTAACTACGGATTGTCTTTGTGAACTCTGTTTATATAACTACACTTCAACAACAACTACAGGTTGCTATTGTGATCATTTAAAATACTTACCCATTATTTATATGAACTCTATATTGATTAAATAAATGTTAATTGTCTTATCTAGAACTGAAAACAGCCCGAAAAATAATTTAAGCGATCACAGTCTCATAACATTTGGAATCGATTTCTCGTGAAAATCGTTTAATGGTTACCGATATGTTTAGTTCACATCCCTATTTACGTTGCGATCACAAATGCCAAAAGGTGCCTCGTATTTTGTGACGACTATAGTACATTCAGACGTATCTTAATCGGGTGTAGCGCCTTGACAGCTGAAGCCCCCATTTGTCACTTGATCTGCGGGACGCGTGAGAAGGGTAACCTATCACAAACTCGAATTTATTTTTTCCCAAATTACGTTTGTTCGAATTTTCACTACCCCGAATACCGAATTAGAACGAAACCGTTGTTTTTTCAGGATGTGTTGGATGTTTATCGTAAAGACACGATTAGCTCGGTTAGGTAAGTTAAGTTAGGTTTAAAATAAAAAATATATTCCTCTCAAAATTACTGTCGCGGTTACGAAAATTCGAGCAAACGCTATTTCTGGAAAATGTAATTTCGGACTTCTGATAGATAACCCGTGAGAAAAACACATACTTTGACGACCTTTGTGGTCAAGTGGCTTGCATACCGGTTTTCATAGTGTCGTCATATCTGAGGACCCGGGTTCGATTCCCGGCCGTATCAATGAAAAAAAACTAACTTTTCTATATTATCTCGGGTCTGGATGCTTCTGGTACCGTCGTTGTTTTCGAGTTCCATAACACAAGTGCTTCAGTACTTAGTTTAGAATCGGATCAACATATATGGTGTTGTCTAATATTTATTTATTAATTATTTATGCGACGTTGTACGATGGTTGATCGAGAGACATTGACTTACAATTATATGGACGTCGGGTCCGCGCTAAAAAGTGT